CCCTAAACCCTCAGACTCTTGGATTTCTCATTTGTCAGAGTCACCCGGAGTAGGGAGGTCCACTTTCAGCCCAGTTTAGGGTTTAGGGTTTAGGCGTTTAGGGTTTAGGGTTTTGGTTTAGGGTTAGGGTTTAGGGTTTAGGGTTTAGGGTTTAGGATTTAGGGTTTAGGGTTTAGGGTTTAGGGTTTAGGGTTTAGGGAACTTAGGGGCCTTGGATCATTGGACTAGGGTTGTGGGATATTCTACTAGCATTCTACTGGAACTGAAGAGGGAGAACTATACTACTTAATCATCCGACTCCTACAAATTATGTAGCCGTAAAACCCTGAAGGAAGAAGCCTGAATAACAGGTTCTACGTGCACCTTCCCTAGACGTACATAGGCATGCCTGGACGTTGTAAATGCACAGATCCATAGTTCTATTCTGCACTCATCCACTTGATAGCCATGTCTCGAAGCAAATTCTTACCCTAAACCCTAAACTGCCCTAAACGGTTCCATTGATCAGATCTGATGTTGGGAGCTTTCGGTTGCAATTTCCAGGCTTCGGGTCTTCGGGTTGTTGGGGGCTGTCGAATGTAAGGGTCAAGGCTCCGGGTTTAGGCTTTAGGGTTTAAGGTTTAGGGGCTTAAGTTTACGGTTTGACCTTTGAGGAAAAGCGGGATTCGGGTTTTGGTTGGCCGGGCTCTGGATTCAGGCGTTCAGCCGGTTTGAGGCCGAGGTTTATTGACACTCACGTTCCGAGTGTGAGATTCGGGGTGGTACAGTACATTCTGGTCCCTAAACCCTAAACCCTTAACCCTAAACCCTAAACCCTAATCTGAAACCACGTGCCCTCAACCTGTGCTTGGCGCTCCGTAACTGGAACAGCCTGGAGCAGTCCTCGACTAAACGCCCTTTGCACCCAAAATGACCAATACGCAATATGGTTTAACACCTCCCCAGACCCCCGGGAGGATCTAGAAAGTCGAACCGCTAATTTGGGACCCTATACTACTAAAGGGCTCTTTTTGGGAACCCCATTAAGGGATCCGCTTTCTGGATCCTCCCGGGGGTCTGGGTCGCTGGGTCTATATTTTATGGTGATCTCCCAAGACGCGTGAAAAGCAGCCCTCACTGCCATATTCAGGTATGGTTGGGACTTTCGGCTTCGGGGGCTTAGGGCTTAGAGTACAGAGTACCTGCTACCTCCTCCGGCTCAAACATAAGTTCGACCCCAAAAAATCCTAAAGAACCCTAAACCCTAAAAAAAAAAAAAAAAAGGGCGCCTGCGGCCGGCTTTTTGCCGCTTCGGCCATGGCGGCACCGCGGATCTTCACGAGCTCCATCCCTGCGGCATGGAGGGTTCCCTTTAAGGGCATCCTTTTAGGGTTTAGGGTTTAGGGTTTAGGGTTTTAGGGTTTAGGGTGTAGGGTTTAGGGTTCAGAGTTCGGGGCTTAGGGGGTGTGGGGTTTGGGGTTTAGAGTTCCTTTCGGGCTTAGGGCTTTGGGCTTGGATGGCTTTGGGTTTGGGATTATTCTGCGCTAAATTATGGATCTCCGGCTTTAAGGTCAAAGGCTTTCGGTCTTAAGTTTGGGGTTAAGGGGCCAGGCTTAGGGGGTTTAGGGGTTTTAGGGCGTTTAGGGGATTTGGGGGATTTGGGGTTCAGGGTTCAGGGCTCAACCGGGGGAGGGTTCGGGGCTTTGCGCTTGACCAGGGTTCAACACACGTCCATCCCTGTGGCTTCTACGTAAGGGCTCCTTATGACGGGCTGACGGTTTAGGGTGTAGGCTCCTGTCTAGTAAGTGTTGAGATCTTATGAGGGATTGATAAGGGCTTCACTTAAGAGTTGAAGGGTTTCGCACGGTTATCAGAACCTTACGAACGAAGACAGGGTTTGGCAGCATGTCAGGAAATGATCTTGCTAACCGTGCTGATTTCTGTAACCCTAAACCCTAAATCCTAAACCCTATAGGGTTTAAGTTTACGGGGGTGTGCGGGCTGAGGGTTTGGTGGGCTTAGGGTTTAGAAATGGTGGCTCCTGTAGCAGTTTAGGGCTTAAGGTTTAGAGCGTAGGGTTTGCGTGCTTGTAGCCTTATTTCGTAGGGTTGTAGGGTTTTACTGTTGAAGGTTGAGGGATTCGGTGTCTTCGGTTGAAGCATTCGATGCTGTGGACGTGGTCTAAAGCTTAAATCTTGGTAGGCTTTTACTCAGGGTCTTTATGATATCATGAGGCGTTTGAAAATTTCAACAGTAGGTCAAACAAACTTTGACAGACTTTCTATGATTTACAGTCTTACAAGGCTTTGTGAAGCATGAAGCAACCTTTCACAAGCTTGCTACATGATTGCAGGGGGTTTTCGACTTCAGGGGCTTGATGAAGCTTGTGGCATTTCATGAAGTTGTCTTCCAAGGGATTACAAGACTTGTGTACTGCGTCATGGTGGCTTTACCCAGCTTCCCACCCTGGTTGTGGAAAACTCTTGATGGGCTCAACGCACTTCAGAAAGTGTATCAATACCCTAAACCCTAAACCCCTAAACCCTAAATCCTAAACCCTAAATCCTAAACCCTAAACTGTGAGATTTTATGACAACTACAATGGGGCCATGAGAACGGCGAGAAGACGCGGCCGGCAACCCCCAAGGATTCCACAAGGGATCTGCTAAAGGTATGGGATTGTAAGGCTCAAGGCTTAGGGCTTATGATTAAAGCTTTAAGTTTTGGCATCTGGCGTTTTCAATTTCGGGGAACCCTAAACCCTAAACCCAAAACCCAAAGCCCTAAACCCTAAACCCTAAACCCCCAAACCCCTAAACCCTAAAACCCTCAATCC